AGAAGGGAGACAGGTAACAAGAGAGAGAGAGAGAGAGAACACTAAGAAGGGAGACAGGTAACAAGAGAGAGAGAGAGAGAGAGAGAGAGAGAGAGAGAGAGAGAGAACAAAAACATGTTCTTAGCAGTTTGTTTATAACTGTTCATTTGTTTATTTGTATGTATTTTTGTATAGATGTTACAACTATACATAGCTTTGGCAATACTGTATGTAAATATGGTCATGCTAATAAAGCTATTGAATTGAATTGAGAGAGAGAGAGAGAGAATGTGAAAAACTAAGCAGAAGAATGAGATGGCGATATGTGAAAGAAAGGGGTGAGAGAAAATCAGAGCTGGGCTCAAAAATGGGAGTGAAGAGGGGGCACCAAAGGTTCATTTTAAAGCACTTTAATGGGATAGGGTGTCCTTCCAGTTGAGACAACGTGATAATAAACTCTCTAGAGTGAGCTTGTAGTGGATGGAAAAGATGCATTGTATTATCTGTTGCTCTTCTATGAGAAAACTTGATGCAGTGCCATGTTGGCTGCGCTGCATGCTATAACGTTCTGCATGCTGGTACCACTGTTTCCCCCTGTCACTCCAGACTAGTGGTGGTAATAGAAGGGGAGGGAGATGAATGTAAATGAAAGAAAGAAATGTAATTCAATGTGTGAGTTGAATTCATGCTTACTGCCAGAACTCCATAACAGGAAGAGTGGTATTCAGTCTTGATGCCATGCTGAGGCTCATATTGGGATGGGAGGGATCCAGACAAGACTCTGGGGAAACAAAACAATGTAAAAATCCACATTTTCAATATTGAATCAAACAGAGATAAAAACATGCAATTTTTTTTTATTTTCATAAACGTTGCATTACTTCCATAAAGCAAAACAAGAGAGATTATTTTATGAGAAAGAAAATGTTCTATATTTTTGCTTGATATCCCTTGCTTTGCACATTACACAAACACTTTTCTTTTAACAATATTGCAGTGAAATCCGTAATCAAATAAGTATATATTAACTTAAAATACATTATTCATACTCAATATCTACAGGCTTCCGAAGCCCTCTCCAAAAGTTTGAAGACAGCGTACCTGTGTTCCACTCGTGTCCACATGTGGCCCAAGGCAAATCCGCACTGAATGATGAGAACAGGTAAAAGAACGCCCATGCAATGATGACAATATAAGAGGTTGCACTAAATAAAATGATTAAGTGACTGGCATAGCCCATGCCTGAAAAAAAGAAGGAGAAAAATACAAGAGTGAGTGAGGGAGTGTGGCATGCAGATAATAGTATCTTGTTGCACTCAACACGGTGACATGGCCAAAAGGATACACTTTGTGCGTAATTACGCGCACTGTTCACATCCAAAATATCCGGTGAAGAATATGACGAGCCACTTGACGAATACGAACACATGTGCACAGGAAATTCTATTGAAAATAAGAAATGTTAAGACATTACCTTGGAAAAGCGGACAAATCTTTCTCCAGCACGTTATACTCCCCTGGCTAGTGTATTGTCCTAAAGCAGTCTCAAGGAAGAATAAGGGGATTCCGCATGTAAACATGAACAAGAAGTATGGGATGAAGAACACGCCTGCAAAAAATAAAGGGCCTTTACTTCTTTATGCAGCGGTGGGTACAACTAGAAAATACTTAAAGTATCCAGATTTACATTTTCGCAAACTGAGAGCAACAGTTAGCCTACTGTCTGAAAATAACTCACCTCCGCCGTTTCTGTAGCATAGGTAGGGAAACCTCCATACATTGCCAGGGCCGATGATCGCACCCATCACAGTCAGAAAAAACTCGGCTTTGTTTTTCCAATTACCCCGTCCCTCATTATCTTTAGACGTCTGTGGGTGTCCGTTTGGCACCGACACTGTGTGGATGCCATTTTTTCCGTCCATGGCCATCTTTCCTCCTTTAACTCACTTAACCGTACGTTTCCCAAAGCCACTCTGCAGTGTCAGTCACTCCTAAACCCACATGCGAGTTTGGGAGTACTTGCCAAATAACTCTGTTTCCGCCTAAACTCCGTGAAGTGATGTTATGCTCATGTAAAGTTGACGATGTGTTGTGGAATGATCTGTCCTGTTACTGAGAGTGCTGCTGGCTGACACTCAAACTATTTATGCTGCAGATGCGTAGATGTAGATGTAGATGTAGATGGGGGGGGGGCATGCTCCCCCAGGAAGATTTTTTTTTTAAATATTGAAATTAAATGCATCAACCTGGTGCACTTTGAGAGCAAAATGAATTTAAGGATACAGCTCTCAACATATGACACAGAACTGTAAACAGATTTTCTTTTTCTTTCTGGATGTTTTAAAAATAACTCATTTAAACTTTATTCTTGTTTTACTGTCATAGTATTTCATAACTGTTTTTCATTTATTCTCATAAATGGTGACCAAAACGTTTGAGAACCACTGAGATAACTAGACTAAAGTTAACTATCTAAACAGAGTCCCTTACCTCACTGAGCTGTTATCTCTCTCAGTCTGACAGGAGAGAGCTCTACCTCTCATTGTTTGAGAAACAACTTATAATATCCGTTAGCGCAGCTAGCTACCCAGATGCTAACAACAACAATGCAAATAGTGAGTTTGGTAGAAATATACTGTATAATAGTAAAGTTATTTAAGATGATGCCATATTTATTGAAGATTTACATTATAAATATTCCCCAAAATTATTCAAAAGCATATTCTTCAAAACTCTCTGCTGTAGTGAGACCAACAGAAGACTATTGATGTGTGTGTAGTGAGTTTGGCAGTAATAAGCTGTATAATAGTGATTGAATATTATTGTATTATCTTTTTTCGGAATTGCACTTTGCACACGGTCCCCTGAGTACTCGTTTCTTCTCCGGCTGCAGATAGAGACCAATGTAATGTGTCCAGCTCGGAGGGCGGCGCGTATTGGCTTTTTTTCGGATCAAAATGTGATTGTAGTTCGTTTTCAACCTCACCACGGTACTTAGGAGACGTCATTTGTGTTTAAATAACGTTTTGTTAATGAGTTATTGATCCGTGAAATCAGAATCTCCCAATATCGTTCCAACTTTACTGAAGCCAGAAGACCGTCTTATTTCGTAGACCGCTCGGTTTGCTGTTCCTTCACTTTATTTTTATATTTATATACATTTATTTTGGACGAAAACTTAGCGTGAGAAAAGGCAAGTGTGGCGTGAGTGCGTGAGATATGGGTTAATTGCGTGACTCTCACGCTCAATGCGTGAGTGTTGGCACTGGCAGCCCTGATTACAAAGAGGTTAGGCTAAAAAACCCTGGCTAATGATAGCAGCAAATATTACTAGCACGTGGAGCGAAGACAGCAGCCGTAAAAGCATTAGTATTTATGTAGCTGGAGGTAAGCGCTGGTTTATTAATCAGCTAAATAAATAAATACCTGTACTAGGCTACTGGTTCGAAACATTGACTGAAGTACTTTCTCAGTACATTTTTTCGGTTTATCCTCCACAGAATGTGGTGGTATGCCTCCGACTTGGTCTCGCGCCTCGATTGCGCACAGTCAAAACCACACCCAACTGAGCAACAGCCAGTGAGTTAGTGATGTGTCGGTCGCGAACGAGCCGATTCTTTTGAACGGCTCTTTGATATGAACGAGGGGAACCGAGTCGTACTTGGTGAGAGCCGTTCTTGTTATCGTTCAATCGTTTGTCCGCACTCACTGCCTGCCAAAATCCACTAGCCTTTTAAAAAGCTTGATTTTTTTCCCCAAAACGTATTCTGTGAAGACCCGCCCCTAATCTGACTGTATCTATCTTCGACACGGAAACCCTGTCTGCTCCTCACAGCAGCTCCTCGCGAGCAGTTGCACGTCGCTTGACCAATCAGAGCACACTGGGCTACAGGGAAACAATCCATTTAGGACAGAGAGTGAACACCAGGTTTCAGCACGAGGAGTGAGATGGGGTGGGTCTTAACGGAATACGCGAGAGAGAGAAGTCATAACAAGTGGTACAGGACAGGTAGACAACGTGTTTTTCGGATGGAAAATGAGCCAAACGCGAAAACGCAGTTGGATGCTGGAGGCTACATTCAAAATACATTCACTGACATGAATATGGCGCCACCTTTTGTCATGTTCACAATGCAGATTATTGACATTAGGTCTGGCAATACAGTCAATCATTATCCTGGTGATTATTTCGCAGATAAACCTAGTAACCCCGCCCCCTTTAAAAAAACGGCTCTTTTGAACGACTCTTTTGAACGGCTCTTTGAAAGGAACGGAGCCATAATATCCGGCTCCCTTCAAAGAGCCATAAATCCCATCACTACAGTGAGTGATCCACAGAAAGAGAGATTGTAATACTGGCTTTGTAATTAAATCAACACTCTAGAGTTGTCTGGAGAATTCAACAATTGACTCCCTGTTTCAACACCAACTCGTTTTGAATAATAACTATCTTGGAGTTAAATTACACTTACAATTAGTTGAAACAACTCTATATTTAAATTCCCAACTCCAACACTGAAAATATAACACTTTTGATTTTGCTGTGGGTTAACCTTGATAATGGGAAACAAGATGATCCATTATTTTTGAAGAGTACACTTTATTTAATTAATTATTAATAAATCCTTACTGAGATAGACATACCATATATAGGATGTTATTTCGGATTTACAGTAACTTCCATACTGTTAAAAGTTTGCAATTGCCTGCCTCAAAAGGACAATTTAGAATCAAAAGAGTCAGATGCTTGAGAGTACTGCTCTTTATTTTTTAATTGTCTTTCATACATTCAGTACAAAGTTTTCTTTGCAGATAATATTGTAACGTTCACAGATGGAGTCGGAAACAGGCTTCTAGTTATTAGGCTTTAATAACTCTTATTTTCTTAGGATGAGAGATTCAGGAACAGCTTGTGGATTCAACCTCACACACTCTGACGCTAACTCCCACACATACCCATATATATAACAGTGACTACGTCACAACTTCCCCGCCCTCCCCCGTCTGCTCCCCCAACCACAGGACCGCACCTAGACCAGCATCACTGTGCAGCTCTGTGATTGGCAGAGAGAAGGGGGATGCCTGAGTGACACCCTCAGCATCCTATCAGGGTCGCTACAATATGTTGTATGGATTTGCAAAAAAATGTCATGTTTTGTACATGGAAAACAATACACTGCACACTGGGTCAACCATGTTGAAAATTGAAAAGGCAGAAACCAACAGAGATACCTCTGAGAAACAGTTAAATAACAATAGAAGAAATCACCAGTCATTTGTTTAAAAAACTTAAAGCTTAGCATCAACATGAATGCAGATTTTAAGGTTCCCCTCCTCGTGTTTTGTGCAGATGTAATCATTGACAATGAGAAAGGAACAGTTACGGTTTCAGTGTCAATGATATAATGCCAATAACAACCTGAAACAAACAGGCATATTGCTTCAGCAAAGTCCTTCTTCAAACTTCACAGTATAAATAGGTTAGTCGAGGGTGAGCATTGTTAGAATAATATAACGAAATATCCGTTGATTATAAGATTGATTGACAAATGACTGTTTAAACATATTCAATCCAACCACTGATTAACAATTATATTAGCATTTATTTGCTCCTTTTACAGAACAAGATGAGATTAATACAAACTAAAATAAAACAGATAGTTTGTTCACAATACATTAAAACATGTTTTACAATTCCAAGAGAGCTTGCTGTTCTTAGATCCAAGGGGAGAATGTTTCATATTTAAGGGCCATAAAAAACAGGGTTAGAAATAGGCCCATGATAAGTAAGGTCACCGATGTTCGATTATTAAATTAATCGAACATCGGTGACCTTACTTACTTACTTACTTATGTTGCTATTATTATTATTTGTATTGTATTTCCAGTTTATGCTACTTTATAGCCTACTTCTTCTCCATTTAACATAGCCTAACTGAAGCTGTCAGACGAATGTAGTGCACTACATTCGTCTGACAGCTTCAGTTAGGCTATGTTAAAGATTCAGATTATCAGCTATTAAAAACTATGAATAAACTAATACACTATGACATAATATAGGTTAAGATATTCAGCAGCAGTATACAAAGTAATCAAAATAGCTCCACATTCACCAGCTGTAATGAAAACATTCATGCATCAATAGTCATAATCCAGTAATGTATACTGTATATTAGTGAAATTAGCTACTGCACAATAAGTAGGCTACTTATGTGGGAAGTAAGATGCCAATCTAGCAATGATACTTTTACGCAAGTATAAAGTCGTCTACTTCTTCCACCACAGGGTGTGTTTGTGGGTCTAGCCTACTCTGTGCGGCGGCACTGGAGCCTGCGGAGCTGGAAACAAGTGAGCTCATCGCGGCTGCATGGAGAGGAGGGCGGGGCTCCCAGCATCATCACCACCGGCCATCGCTGCTTCATTGTGGGGCTGCTGCTGATGCTGAGACCTTAGCGATTTTTTCCCCCTAAAAACAAAATGCCATGGACACGGTTTCACGCAGATTAGGACTCCTCACATGATGAAAATCGATTGCGAGGTAAGGTATGGAAAGCTGTCTGTAAATACTGCCGTTGTTGGGTTTAAAACCGTCGGAACTGGGAGCTACTGGGACTAGCAGGCCTGTTGGATCGAGTCAGGTTGATCATCTCAGCAGCGGTGTAAATAGTATACGTTATTTTAATTTCACGCAGCCAAAAATGGACCACAGTGCACCAATAAATACCAGAATCGGGTAAAAAATATAAATGTCTTATTCGTGCATGCAGCTTCGGCTCAGCCTGCATGTCGGAAGTGGCATAGCTTGGCCTACACTAAGCAAACCCTCGAAGATGACGAGGATGGAGCTTGTGTGGGATTTTCACCGCCATGTAGGGCCATCTAGCATACACACGACGGATGCCTTATCTCTGTTTGTGTGTGTAGCCCATTTCCGCGGCCGTTAGTCTTCTGGTAACCGTACTTGTTGTGCACTAAAGCCCCCAGCTGATGGGAATTTTGCCTCAGGTTAAGCCAGATGCGCATTGGCTCTTATGGTTTGCATGATGTGCATTTCTCTGCTTGACAGGCCATCACACATTACTGGCCATGATTTGAAAGGATGCTGCAGTGATTTTGTAAGAGGATGCTATAGTCCACAGTGGGCTGGCAGGGCCTCCAGACTGAGGGACCGGGTCTGCAGCCTGCAACTGCCTGAGGGTGTCACACTGGCCTGATTTAATACACACATCACCCCTGCTGGGAATTTGCATTTGTCACACTATTTATTTTGGGTCAGCACAGATGCAGGCTGGTGACTGCCCACATGCTAATAGTTTATAGATTGACTTGCAAAAGAGGGGTCGTTCAATAGTACACATTGATGGAGCAAAATAAAGCGAGAAGATACAATAAACATAACCAGAACAAAGTTAGATGAATCTCTTATTAAAGGGTCGTAATGTTTGGTACGGAAATGAACCTTACGGACAGGAAGTATGATTCATATGTGGCGATGATCTCTCTGCCATTTGGTCAGAGCTGTCGTAGTAACTTTGCCCTAATAATGTGCACCCACACTGGCTTTAGATTTTGGAATTTGACATTCAACTTCAAGTGGTTCTCTGTGATGCTCAGGGCCAGACGAGGAATTTCTTTATTCCTGAAAATGAATATATTCACATAATGTAACTGCTCATCTTCCATCCGTGGATAATCGCATCCATGTCAAGATGTTACATGACAGACATTTGCTCTTTCCTGCTCTTTTTCCTGCATGAGTACAGCTCTGTTCGTACTTGGTGTTGATATGTTGACCTCATGCAGTCAAACATAATCCAAAAACAAGCAGATGTCTGCTGCTTTGATACTTTGAACCAACGTATGTCACTACCGGAATCCAGACACATTACACTTGAGTTGCTCATTGACAATGTCCATAAACACAAATGGTGTCAAATAGAACATCCCAGTTGTTCTTTGAGGTCAAAACAATATAAAGCTTGTGGTTATACAAAGTATATTCAACTTTCATACCATTTATTGTGACCTATCAAGCACATGTATGTAGACTATTTTTCGGAAATAGGAGAGCTCTGTTCATGTACTGTATGCGATTTTGACTTCAGTAACATGGATTAGATTAGAGAACATTTTTGGTTGAACTAAGAAGCAGACAAACATTATCCAGAAACGAACAGGAAAGTGATGATTGAGTCCAGCTGTGTGTCACTTTGTCAGACTCCTGTCTAAATCGTTTTACATTTACATTGGAGCATTGGCACTTTGGCCTCTCGACCTGAATATTTTAGATTTCTGCCCCACTTGCAAATAATCAATAGTATGCTCCTTCTTTACTATCCTAAACCCAAATGTTAACTGCATTATGTATTGTCCTTTATCAAATACTGTAAGATTGAAGTATCTATCTAACCATCATCTATTGATGTTGTCTGTCAGAGTTTTTAATTTTAATGTAATAAATGAAATGCATCAATACCAACCCTCACCCAAGGCTAATTATGGCTTGTACAATAGCATGAGTGGGTAGTGGATGACAGATGGTAGGTCCTGATTTAAAATACATTTGGTTTTATAAAAACTACACAACCCAACAGCCTTTGTTTATGATCAGAACAGAGGACATCCACTTATGTACAGTCTAATAAGTTAAACATGTTTTTCTACATTTCAATACCCTACTATTAATGAAAATTGATACTTGGTGGAATACAGAAGCCAGCTCTTTAATTGTTTTAATGAAATGTGTAAATGGAATATTAGTGAGCAAGCCAAACCTAACAAAAATGATATGATGTTATGTTAGCATTGTAGCAGACCAACTTTTCATGAACAATTTAAATCTTTAAAAAAGAATTCATTTTTTAATTTTTTAAAACCCAACAAAAAAGTCTTAATGGCTTTTACCCTAAGACCCCAGAGGGCCATTAGACTTTAGCTGACAGTCAACAGCAGCAGCGTTTGAATTTCTGTGATCCATTCCTGGTACTCTGTGTCTGGAAAATCCAGTGCCTACCCCCAAAATTGACGTCTGAGGAGTCAAAAGTGGGTCATGGTGCCAGTGTGCTGCATGAGAGAGAGAATTATCATTCAACTCTGCAGCTCCTTCGTGCTTTTCCATTTCTTTTCAGTAGCTAATGGATTTGATTTTACAGACTGGAATTACACTTTATGTATCAGTCTCACTGCACTTATCAACCTCCTTTTAAGCAGCAGCAGGCATTTGTTTTCAGTTAGAAGTTCTAATGTACCACCCTGCTCAGCACCAAATGGCAGACAGAGTGTTTCTGACTAGCTGGCAAGGAAGGTCAAATATTTAAACAGCTAAAGACACAAATATTTCTTTATTATGTTAATGGCGAATCAAACAAAGCAATGAATATTTGACTTGCATTTTTCAGTTGGCCATAATTTAAAGCAATAAAGAGTATTCGGCAAAAATAGGTTTACACAAATACACAATGTGTATGTTGTGTGCCATCCTGCCATCTTACTATATGCACCAATTGTATCAACTTTCAATCTTTTCAATTAATTCTCATAATGTTGGATTTAATTAATGTATTATTTTGCACGTTTCCTTTTAGGGTAATTTGAGTTATACTTCAATAAATGACATTTTGCTGCATTATTGAGTTGACTTACACTCTGTTTCTCAGAAAAATATTATAACCAGCTTTAGCAAGATTCAGCTTTTTAAAACCTTTCTGGCATGGCGCTAGCAATTTATTTGACTCGTGTCCATATTTATTGGTCTTCAGTTCTGTCAGATGGTGTCATTCCTTGTGGGATAAGCTAGTACTGCACTCTTTAGCTGCTGGGTGTTTAGACATCTACAGGGCGTGTTGTGTAAGGGAACACAAATCTTCTTTTTTATATAGTTTGTCATTTCGTGATGTTCACAGATTATGTTAGTTTTGGAAAGGTGCTGTATATGGTGATGGTTTTCTATCAAATACTGTATGTTGAGTACTGTAATGCCAGTCTGTTTCCCATAATGAAATCAGTGCAATCAACAGTTCACAATAACACATTTATAAATAGAAATGCAAATCAAAATTGGTTAGACAGTTGAGGCAACATCCGGTGCATGACCCTGTATTTCCCATGATGCCTGTCTGCGGCTCTGTTATGCTCATTTGACCAGCCAGCGGATTATTTCTCTGTGTAGTCTGAAAATGAAATATGACAGTAATCAGATTGGCTCACAGCAGAATCATATTTAGTCTTCCCCTTCGGGACAAACCACGCTGCTGTGGATGGTTTGTAGGTTAATACTGTCTTAGTGTTCATGCTGAGTTGTGATTGGCTTCACATGGTGGTGGTGTATTAATGGCTAGTCCAAGGTGGTTGAAGATGAATCAGTGAATCAAAACTTTTACACCATACTCTTAAAACAATTTGCTGTAAATATTGTTGCATGATCAGCAGAATGAAAATACAATACATACAACAAAATATAATAATTTAGGAAAACGGAAACAAAATTGTAAGGATAAATATCAACAAAAGAGATTTTAAACATCCTGGCAACCTAAATGTTTTTCTATAAAGCATAGCTAAATGAATAATCAACCATTAAGAAACAATTAGTTATATCTTTAATTCGCCTTACATTATTAGGAAGTGGCACCAAAAGTCTGGGCTTCTTCAAAAACAACTACAATATTAATTGAAGTTACTACGAAAAAGAAACAGATCTGTTCAATGGCGACTGTTTGCCTATGCCGGTTATTATTATCCTTTATGCAAATGTGAACATAATTTCTGCGGAATAGGGAGAATAATTAATGTTGAAGTCTTTGAGTCAGATGGTTTAATGCGGACAAACTGTACCTGTTATGTTATTTCAAAAGTTAATTAAAACTATTTTCTAGGCTAAATCATATTACATTTGAATCCCAAACTATAATCCTATACTGTAAAGTATATGATTTTAGAGCGATACACTTTCAAAAACTGACCTTTTAATTAATAAACAGTAGGCTAAATTACTAATTAAATAATTTGGAAAAGTATACGAAATGCTTGGAAAAAATAATTGGTATTATAGCTATACTGTGCCCAAATGTTACGCCTACGTTTGAAAAATAAACATTCAAGGTATAAGAAAGACAACACCGTAGGTGAAGTTAACCTGAAGCTTTATTTGGTTATTTATGTCATTAGTGTTATCCTGTCACATTGCCAAAGTGTTTGAACTTTCTTAACATTGTAAATCATTTCAAATGTTAAGAATACATATTATACCAACAAACAAATGAGCAACTGATATCAACAAGCACACACTATATTCATCAGGTCTGTAAATACTTCAAACAAATGTCATGAACCCTGATAAATTACTGTTTTTACAGCATTAAAGCTTCAAAGTCATTGAGATACTGTACGACATTCCGAAAGCCTTCAAGCAGCACTCATAGCATCACTGTCTATAATGTGAATCAAATCAATTGAAATACACTTAAGCTTAATGCATCTCATAATGTGCAACGTGTGGTGTGCAACTGCCATATCCACAGTCTTAAAGTCTTTATCTTAAGAAGTATAGCATATAAAGATAATATTTTAACTATGGAACTTTATTGTAGGGAAAATATGACACATTTAGGCAGTTCACATAGTAAGGATACGCTCAGTAAGCTAGGTGTTTAGGAAGAACCGGGAAATCGTGCTATTTCTATAGCTGGGTGGAATTTATAGAGTACGTGTTGATCACAAGATGAATTCCTTTGAAATAAATCTAAATTCAAACACTTTTTCCACAATAATTACTCAAAAAGTAAATGACACAGTCCTGTCTAGGAACCCTCTTCTTTTGACTATAGTAACATATCACTTCCTTTCTTGGAAATGATTAGTAAACAATGGTGGATTCAAAATAAAATGATACCATGACATCTTATTTAGTCTAACTATTGGTAAGTTGTGCAGTGTTTGTTCTCTAAATTGATAGCAGATCACAAAGGGAGTCACATCTTATAAGTCAGAGTTTCTTAATGATAATATACGCTAAATTGTACCCTACTGTAGGTATGGTAAAGCTGCAGTTACAGGAATAGTTTGTTTTGCCCTTTGGTAATTAATCAATAATACAGTCACACTGTGCCCAACCTCCTTATTGTAGCCAACCAGTAAGCACAGCGTTTGTGGTTCGATCCGTGACACTGATAGCAAATGAAAGTGCCTCTGCATGTATCTGTGCCAAGTGCCATTGATTGCTTCTATGTTATTTATGTGCTGGACACACACTGCTCTTTAAAAATAACATTACAAAATAAGCACTGAGGACAAATTGAAGCACTCTGTAGTCTAAACCTCGCCAAAAAGATCTAGAGTGACCTCCGTCTGTAGTCACACTCACTGCTGAATCTCCTTTAATGTTTAGGTTGTAAATACAGCAGCAATCTTCCGGTTGTCTAGTGAATGAGCGTCTAGGTATTTGTACAAATATTGTAAATATACAACACTGTACAATCACACGTCTACCGTTTTCTAGACTAGACACGGCATACAATGTTAATCTTTAATTTCTTAACATCTGTGTAAGACAGTTTAACTTATTCTTAGTTTGCACAGCTTAGTAATAAATGGTGCTCAGGAACTATTTGTATACACAGCTTGTTTCATGACGTACACATGCAGCGTGACACGTTGTCAGAAACTGCAGCAGGTTGAGATGGGACCGATGCTGACTCTCTGTTGGAAGGTTTTATAACCCACTTCCACTCCCAGATAATTCATTTGGAACAGTGCTCAATGTTGAGGACCGTCCATGCGAAATTTGCAAACGGAGTAGAAGTGGGTAAGAAAAGGGTGAAGAGGCCGGATTGGAATTGGGTTTATGTGTAGGTCGGGGAGAGCTATGCTAAAAAGGCACCTACCTTTGAAGCATGTAAACGGCTCTTCCCTTGTGGGCCATGCCATAATGGCTCAAATACTGTATACAGTGAGAGATATTACAACTCCTTAAGTATCAGCAGCAAGTTGAAGCTATGCACACTCCAACACTGTGGAAATGCAGGCTGATTTTTAAATGATGAGAGGCAATCTATGGATAATTGCAAGTGGTTCCCATACGAAGAACCTCCTTCCCATGACAACCAAAATGGTAACGGTCTAATACATTGTTTAAGGGTTTTATCCCCGAATCCTTAATTGTCAATCACAGTAGGTCCTTGGCTTTCAGCTGACCGCAAGCAGTGCAGGTAGAAAAGGCAAATACTAGGGAATGAAGGATTACCTCTAATTACATACCCAGACAACCATTTGTTTAAAAAAACATTCTCTTGGTATGTCACACATTCTGACCAAGTCCAAATGTTTAAAGTGTTTGGTTTGTTTATTCTTAGCTACGGTATGAACAAGGCATTGCAACATAGCAGAGTAGATTATTTGGTTCTTAACATTACCCTAATGGCCCTTCTTTAACTTTAAGCTAATTTATCCAAGGATTTTACATTTGCCTTTGGATGTTTTCTCATACACAATTTGGTCTGCTACTATGTTTATAAGTGTTATTAGAAGTGCTAATCAAAGTTTATGTGTTATCTTTGTGTGTCTCTCCGAGATAATTCTTGCATACGGAAAATACATTTATCAGAATAAGACACATTCATACACTATTGACCTCATCTTTGTGGTGCCATGTAATGGCAGGATGTTGTGATATTGCTTAATGCTGTTGGAGAGAATTTATTTGAGGTCGCTTTTTAATATGCATTTGTAATAATTTCTTGAAATTAAAGACGCCATGCTACTGTATAACAGATTCATAGAAACCGAATGATTTGACAATAATTTATAGAATTTAATCTAGGAAACTAGGTGATGCTGTTTGTGCCAACCTTTCCCTTAATTACCGTTCAGCTGAGCATTTTGAGCCTAAGGTGTTTTTTTGGGCTGTCAGTCGATTAAAATATTTAATTGCGATTAATCGCATGATGTCCATAGTTAATCGCGATTAATCGCAAATTAATCGCACATTTTTTATCTGTTCTAAATAATTAATCGCACATTTTTTATCTGTTCTAAATGTACCTTAGAGGAATATTTTTCAAGTTTTTAATACTCTTATCAACATATGAGTGGACAAATATGCTTTATGCAAATGTTTGTTTATTATCATTGGAACATTGACAAATATTCTCCTGAATATTTTCAACACAACAACCTGGAACCTCTCTCTCTCTCTCTTACAGTCTCTCCCAACCCTGTGTACTTCTTTGCACTGAGCCAGTTGCTCAAACAGACAAGCCTGTTTACAGTTGTCGGCAAAATGCCGCTCCTCTGTCTTCTTCTTCAGTCAAAGCATGAGACGTTCCCACTGTGGGTCAAAATAATGCGCTGTGATGTGCAGTCGACACATTGGATGCGATCCATACTCCACAATGTTAAGCTGTAGCCACCCATTTAGCTATCGCTGTTAAAAGCTTGCTGCTCATAGAAGTGTCCAGGCATCTCCCCGACAAACTTTCAAGCGTGGTCTGCCACAAGCGAGCGGCAGGAGGCTGTCAGCATCAGCTGTGGGCTTGGCTTGCTGTTTAAAACACCTTTTTTTGTATCCATATCTCTCGCTAGAATCTCCCACCATTCAACTAACAACAACAACAACGTCAAGCCTTTGGGCTCTGAAACTACGGGGCGGGCCGAAGACAAATACACATGCGTTAATCGCACGTTAAAATAATTAGTGGCTTTAAAAAAATTAAATTGACAGCCTTAGTTTTTTTGTTTATACATTGACGAGGTTTCCTTCGTCTGATCGAATCTTGTGATCCCCTGACATTCATTTTCCCCACAGGATAAATTCTTATTACGTTGGTGATCCCTTCAAAAAAATGTGCATTGTACTTATATAACAGATCTAAGAGGGAGATTGTATTTTGTATTACATGCATTTTTCTTCCTCACAAAAACTTGCACCTACAATACCCAAAATGCAACTAGTCTGCCAACAGTTCAGTCAGAGGTTTGGATGGCCAATGTTGCCTTAAATTGCTGGCCTTTAGCAGAAATTAGAAGCATGCTAAGTAGGTGATCATATTGAATATTATACCATCTAAAAACCTAACAGAAAACATCAAAATACTATCAATTTGAGCATGTTTGCATGCTGTTATCCGCATATAGCTCAAAGCAACACTGTGCCAAGTAAATCTGTCTCATTCTGTCTCTCCTTGTGTCTCCTCCAACCCCCAAGCCTTTTTTTCTCATAGGAGAATGAGGAAGAGGAGGAACTGGAAACCATTGGAGCGCCTTGGAAAGTTTCTGTGAAGTCTCAATGAAAGCTTTAGAAGAGCCCCTCTAGTATTTGACTCAATGGCCAAGAAAGGGCGTACGAAGAGCGAGAAGCCTGAAGCGCTCATCTCTGCCCTACAGGCAGCCAATGAAGACCTCAGGTCCAAGCTGACTGACATTCAGATAGAACTACACCAAGAAAAATGCAAGGTACTGTTAATCATCTAAATACATACATTTCCTCTGAATGTTTCAACGATTGTAGATTTGAAACCTTAACTTTTTTTTGAATGCCAGACAATAACTTCAGGTCCAAAAAAAGCTAAGATTTAGGTTTAAGGTAAAGTAAATGTTGTGACTGGCATGCCTATGTCTCGACATCCTGCATGTATGGTACTGCATGCATGTTATGTTGAGTTAATGCACAGCCTCTCTATATAACATGCTTGAAATGTAATGTCCCTCTTTAGCCCTTTACAGTAGGCAGATCAGGTTGAATAAGGTTTAAATATTGACGTTATACAAAATGGTAATTTTGTACTCGATGTACTGTGTTTTGCATGTAGAAAACTAGTAACACATAAATGAGGACAAGTGGATGATTTTCCTTAAGTTAGAACAAGACACTCTTACATTTGGTACATTGACCCCATCTTAACAATCATTATGTTGTCCTTAAGAATAAGAAAGAAGAAGACGATATACTTTATTCATTCCTTACAGGGACATTTCAGGAGGACAAAGTGCAGGAGGAACATCCCTCCTCTTCATGATTTATGGCCTTTTTCCCCTTTGTTTATATATTAAGCTGAATAAAAATATTGCTGAGGGCGGTCAAAATGCACAACTCATCAAGTCCACAACGGGTAAATCACAGAGCGTGATTTCTACTTGGAGTACAATAAAACAGAAACCTAATTCCTCTCTTCTCTTCCTCTGTTGCTCCTCTCAAAGGTAAGCAAACTAGAGCGCGACAAGCTCCAGGAGGTGAAGCGGGTGCGGGAGCAGGAGCAGCACCGGCACACTGCCATGATGACGGAGCAGCGGGCCAAGTGGCACGAAGAGAAGTTAAAAGAGCTCCAGGCTCTCAGGGAAAACCTGACACGGCAACATGAGCTGGAGCTGGCCCGCCACGCCAAAATCAAAGACCAGGAGAACCAGAGGCTCAAAGCGGCTCTGAACGCCATGCGCGATGGCAGCGGAGAGAAGGTGAGACTAAGAAAAGGGAGTGAAGATAGTGATTGATTTTGCCGTTGTGAAACATATGTGGGTCTAAACCAGAGGTGGGAAGCAGTGAAGTACAAATACTTTGTTACTGTACTTAGCTAAATGTTACTTTACTCCACTACTTATTTTTCTGACGACTTTTAACTTTTACTTCTTACATTTTGAACACAAATACCTGTACTTTCTCCTTCTTACATTTTCAAAACAGGTTTGTTACTTTAGTTTTAATCTGTGTTTGGTGGCGTGACCATAATTATTTAGAGTCATTGCGTGCCTATTGATTTGAACACGATCCGTGTATCCATCATTTCCTGGTCTTCTCTAAAGAAGAGGGACCAATGGAAACGTTGTCATTTTGCCGTTGTTCANTATATCTATTGCTTAAGAAGCGTCTTGCTGCCTATTGATGTGAACACGATCCGGTATCCATCAATTTCCTGGTCTTCCCTTAAAGAAGAGGGAGCCAATGAAACGTTGTCATATCTTGCCGTTGTTCAGCATCGACACAGTCATTAGCTAACAATGACATTATTGTTCTATTAATATAAAGGGTGGTCAGTTACTCTTAAAACAGTTGGTAGTTATGGGTACTTTTACTTAAGTACATTTCAAAGTCTATACTTCTTTACTTTTACTTGAGTAAAGAAGTTTAGTCAGTACTTCTACTTTTACCAGAGTATTTTTAAAAGCGTGTTTCTGTACTTCTACTTGAGTAAAGGATGTGTGTACTTTTGCCATCTCTGGGCTAAACCCAAGAAAGATGGGATTGGCTCAGGATAACCAGCCTCCCTTCTGAAGAACAGTTCCGCTATAAATAAATAACCATTACTCATATTTCCTTTCTGTGGAAATCCCCGTACATGGAAACCTTTCTTTTTGCCCCCCTACTTCTTCCAGGTGCGGACAGCCCTGACTATGGAAGCCAAGGAGGATGCTCGCCGCTTCTTCGACGTGGAGAGGGTGAAGCTCCTGCAGGAGATATTGGAGCTGAAGTCTCTGAAGAAGCAGACGGACGAGGCTCTCAGCAACATGATCCAGTCCGACAAGATGAAGGCTGGCGACCTGCGGGTGGAGCACCAGCAGCACCAGGAGCAGATCTCTAAGATCAAGTGGGACTCTGAGAAGGACATCCGCAGACTGGTAGGCACTGTCACCGTGACCAAATGATTAAATACTGAACCGATATGTGTCCATTGGCCAAAATATGAATTAGGACCATTGTGCTTGTTGAATATTCATGCAGGGATTGAGCATAGTGTAGTAGATTTTATTTTCAGCTTCATTTCTATTTCATGTGTACTGAGGTATAATCTTAAAGCTTGTCTATTTTCATTCAGTCAGTATTATTTATTTATTATTTAAATGTATTCTGCAAATCATTTTCTAGTAAATCCTAAAATCACAAATGTACGAGAAAGCAATTTGATACATATTATGTAATATTTATTTATTTGGAAGGACATTGATTACTTTTGGATTAAATTCATCACACCACAGTCTCTGTATATTGTGCCTGTAGTGTCTACCTACTAGTCATACATACTGCTGTCCTAATATGGTGTTGCAAAACATTTTGAATAATGTTTAATTTGCTTATTTTGTCTCACTTTAAGTAGAAAAACTATCCTGATAATAAAAATATGTCAGCTTGTACTTACAATTACCAATAACAAGAAACTGACAACTTTACATATTTATATTCTTTTGAGTACTTTCATTGTCAACATATTCACTGTCTTTTTTAAATTTTTAAATGATAACATTTAGCTATAGCAGCGTAACACCGGAAATAAGAAACACTGTTCAACAGAACCAAGTTACGTCAGTACTTAATTATGTCCTTCTTCCTCACTATAGGTGGATGAAATCAAATCTAAAGATCGCTGCATCTTTGCTTTGGAGAAGGAACTGGATTCAACGGCGGGTTTCTTGCAGAAGCTGCAGCTCCAGAAGGAAGCTCTGGACGACCAGCTGTTCCTGGTGAAGGAAGCTGAGTGCGGCCTGGGAAGCCCCAAAAGAGAGATTCCCGGCAGAGCTGGAGACGGAGCTGAGCACTGTGGTAGCCCAGTAAGTAGAGAGGAAGAGCAGGGAGAAGTTCCATGCTCCACGTAATCATATCAAATATTTAGATAATACTTTTAATTTGAGAGAGAACTGGAAGCCTTCCTACTTCTTAAACCCTATTCTTTCCCCTTTGTTTTAGCTCTTGAATATCAATTTGTAGCTAAGTTGCAATGTGCCGTGGTTTTGTAACAAATTATTTGAGCATGCATGACATTTTGTGTAACTCCATTTGACAAAGAAATGCTATAAGCTCAATCTTGGGCTCAAACTGAAAGCTCTGTGCCCTTTAAAGGGGCCCTATTATGCTTTTTGGGGTTTACGCTTTCCTTTAGTGTGCTATACAGGTTTTTGTGCATGTAAATGGTCTGCAAAGGCTAAAATCCCAGTTCATGCCAGAGGGAGTTTCTCTCACAAACAATGCCGTAACACAGTGACATCACTATTGAACACTTGCGCTTCTATTGGTTAGTGCTCCAACACATTGGACGTGATAGGCTAAGGGGCATAACATCTCCAGGCGGTTGACCAATCATAATAAACTGGGCTCTGGTTTCAGACAAAGGCTAAAAAGAGGTGCTGCAGCACAGCAATATGGGGAAAAAATTGCGCTTTTTGAATATTGAAGCATGGAAGCATGTCACAGTAAAGCACAAAATACAAATATGAAACCTGAAAATGAGCATAATAGGGCGCCTTTAAAAGTGATATTGTTGCCAATTGGACCCGAAAGAGATATATATTATAATCCGACATTTTTGCTATTAGGGATTTTGACATTAGAAAAGATGCTTTGACATCAGGATGTGGCTGCGTCCTTTCTTAGCTTAGGTCATACAGTAAAGTCAGACAGTTATGATGATATAAGTGCTCAGAAGATGCAAGTTAAGAGAGCAGTGCTCACATGATAGAGTGGAAAGGTTCACGTACAGACTGAGTGGCGCACAGGATTAGTTTTGATCACCCTCAAATTTGCCAGAAGCATGAGATACGTGAGCAGCGTTTAATCAATGATTTGTCGAAGTCCCATGATCAGCTCAGTATCAAAATAATGTTTCAGTCAATTGCCACATTGAAAGCGTGTCAACTCATGACTGTTAGTGTGAACATTCATCTAGAATAGAATAGAATAGAATAGTTTAATGTCATTTATACATGTACAATGAGATAAATGCTTCTCCCTTTCAAAGGTGCCATCAAAACAAAAACAAAACATCACAACATAAGACAACAAAATACACGCAGCATACATACTTAGGAATAAGGGATAAAGAATAAAGTGCAGTAATTATTTCCAGGACTATAAAAATAAAATCTGTAATGTAATAAATAATAATAATAATAGTGTGTATTTATAATAATAATAGTAATGATATATATGTATATGTACAGATTCACATTGATTCACATGTCAGGTGTTAAGAGCAATGATCGCTCTTGGGAAAAAACTGTCTTTGAGTCTGTTTGTTTTGGATGTGATACACCTGTAGCGCCTGCCGGAGGGCAGCAGGTTGACCAGGTGAAAGCCGGGGTGTGAGCTGTCCTTGATAATGTTTTTGGCTCTACTGAGGCAGCGGGAGGTGTAAATGTCCATCAGGGAGGGGAGAGGGCAGCTAATAATCCTCTGTGCTGCTTTTACGACTCTCTGGAGCCTCATCCTGTCGGCCTCAGTGCAGCTGGCGTACCACACTGTGATGCAGTATGTCAGTAGGCTCTCGATGGTAGAGCGGTAGAAGGTCACCAGCAGCTTAGTGGCCAAGTTGTTCTTCCTGAGCACCCTCAGGAAGTGCAGATGCTGCTGGGCCTTCTTGATGACAGCTGTGGTGTTGTCCTTCCAGGAAAGGTTGTTGGTGATGAGGACGCCAAGGAACTTGAAGGTGTGGACCCTCTCCACACACTCGCCGTTAATGTCGAGGGGAGCGAGGTCGGTAGTATTCCTCCTGAAGTCTACGATGATTTCTTTGGTTTGTGTGGGGTTCAGTGCCAGGTTGTTCACTGAACACCACGCTGAGAGCTTCAGTACCTCACTCCTGTAGGCCGACTCGTCTCCTCCTGAGATGAGCCCCACCACAGTGGTGTCGTCAGCAAACTTGACGATGATGTTCTCTGGGTGGGCTGGACTGCAGTCGTGGGTGTAGAGCGAGTACAGGAGAGGGCTCAGCACACAGCCCTGAGGAGAGCCGGTGCTGAGATTGCGGGTGGAGGAGTGATGGGGGCCAAGTCTCACACGCTGGGGGCGGTTAGTGAGGAAATCTTTGATCCAGAAACAGGTGGGTGGGGGAAAGCCTAGGTTTGACAGTTTGCAAACTAGAATGTCCGGGATGATTGTGTTGAACGCTGAGCTGTAGTCAATAAAGAGCAATCTGACATAGCTCCCACGATGCTCCAGGTGGCTCAGTGCAGAGTGGAGAGCTATGGCTATGGCGTCTTCAGTGGATCTATTTGCTCTGTAGGCAAACTGGTGTGGGTCGAGGGTGGGGGGAAGGCATCTGATTTCGATTTAATATTCATGAGATTTAAGCAATTAAAAGTTTACAGATATGGCAATTTTCCAGATAAGTAAAATAATAAATGGTTTGTTTGTTTCAGGACTTAAGGAGAAACCAAAGGCGTCTTGCTGATCTCAACTCGACAGTACGCAAATTAGAGGACCGCAACTCACTGCTGGTGGATGAGAGGAATGAGCTGGTATGACCAGATGATTCACTTAAAGAATATGAACCTTATGCATTCTCTTTCTTCCCTCGTTTATCTTCATATTTCTGCATTTCCTTCAAATCTCCAAGCTTTTACCTTTCACATGTCAGTCCAGATTTACTGTATATTCATAAGCCCCTTTCTCACCACCAGCTGAAGCGAGTTCGAGAGTCAGAGAAACAGTCCAAGCCACTGCTGGAGAGGAACAAGCTGATGAGTAAGAGGAACGATGATTTGACTCTGACAATCCAGAAGCTAGAGGACAAACACAAGATCCTGTCCAGGGAGAACAATGAGATGGTCAGCACAAAGTAACATCTGCATCACATATAGGGATGGGTATCGTTAAGGTTTTAACGGTACTACTACTTTTATCGATACCGCTTATCGATCCGGTCTTTTAACGGCACTTTTATCGGTTCTTTTGGAGAAAAAAACGAGGTAAACTAACTAAACAAATTGTGAACAAAACTAACATTGCTTTTTATTTAAATGAAATACATATTTCACATTAAAAGAAACAACAATGTTTTAACAAATCGTATATCTGATGACAGAACTGTAAACAGAATAGCTGAAACTTTAACAAAATAAATAACTCAGTTACCTCTAATCACTAACCCATGTTTGTATCATTGAGTTAACTCCGTGCGTTGCTGCTAGCATACATAACACCTGACGTGCTCATGGATGGGGCTACAGAGCTACTAGAAAGACAGTCGAACCCGGTGCATTCCTCCGTCTGGATGTGGAGCACTTTTGCTAAATGTTTAGACAAATTGCTCGTGTTACCGCCCTGACATGCTAAACTCTTTTCGCACTTTTGGTAACGAGCATTGTCCACATCGAGACGGGTAAAGTTTAACCACACCTCCGAGCGCGTTCTCTCCGCCATCTCCTCCATGTTTGTCTGTTGCTGCATGTAGCAGATGCGTGTGTGTAAACTGCCCCGCCCCCTCGCACACAGACGGGAGAGAGAGATCTCTCGTCTGGATTGGAAAGATCGAAAATACTAAAAATAATCATAGACGCATTTTGCAGTCTTTTTGCATATTACAAACGGAGTTGGCGACACTAAAACTGCAATATTATTTTGTTTGTTTGTTTGTGTAGCAATAATACATATGACATATATTTTTACATGTCTCCAGTACCGATAAAAAGACCGATAACGTCGGAGCTTAACGGTACCACGGTCTTTAATAATTCAGCCCCGGGGCCGTTTAATACGGTACCCATCCCTAATCACATATGTATGTATAAGTATTTGGTTTGTCAACAGGGACAGTCTGATTTAGACAGGGTTATGGTAAATATGCGTGCTGTGTGTCTGCAGAAGGAGAAGATCAGCTCCCATCCTCCACTGAAGAAGCTAAAGTCTCTGAATGACCTGGACCAAGCACACGATGACCAGGAAATAGCCTTCTTCAAGCTCCAAGTCCTGGAGCAACAAAACATAATTGATGAGCTGACAAGAGTAAGTTTACACTGATTTAATGAGGACGGCGTTTAGCAGGGTCCCACAGTATTTGTATAGTTGGCAGTTAGGGTCAAGGGGGTTAATCCTGAGCTTCTGTTGAAATGTGATGCTACTTTACCCTTATGTTTAAAAAAAACTAAAAAAGTAGAATGAATAATTCACAGTATAGTGAGACACCTTGTTTTCTTCTCGCATGTTTTGCATAAATTAATATATCTAAAAGTGTGAGAATCTAAGATTTCTGTGTCATCAATAATTCAAATAATTACTTGTAAGGAGGTTTCTGCATAAAATCCATGTTTTATTCAGCAGAAATGAACAGATTCTGGAGTATATTGAGTCATTGGTGTCATTGAGTTGGTTTTCTTCGTATTTATTTTGAAAGAGAAGAGAGAAAAACTCTTCTTACAGTGCTGTTTTATCCTGTTTCTTTTTTCCCAGGACCGGGAAAAACTACTAAGAAAGAAAAGGCATAAAAGAAGTTCAAGGCCAATAAAGGTAGAACCATTTGTCGTTTCTTGCTTTTAATCTTAAAATGTAATTAGTTTGGTTAAAACTTTCGTGAAAGAGTATTTTTTGGAAGCAGAATGAATGTTATCATCACTTAAGGAGCATTTCAGTAATGATTATTTGTGGTATAAGCGTATATTATTTGTCCGGCTTTTTAATTGTCAATCTCATGTCTCGGCTCTACATGTATTAAAGTGAGTCTTGTATAACATGTAGGACCTATGTGTATGAGTCATGTATTAACAGTTACACAAAACTCAAAATGTAAACTTCTTCCTCTGACACTTAAGTAAACCCTGCATTGATATGTTTTGATTCAGTAAGGGATAGTCCCATAGGGGTGTTGTTGAATTCAGTTGAATACCACATTGAAAAAGGAAAAGAAAAAGACTTCTGGGATACCCAAGAGTGAGGACTTTGGTCCGAGATGGTTTAGATCTGTAAATATTTCAACTTCCTTCTCTGCAGAGGCACATCGTAGTAGACACCTTCTTCGGGTATGATGAAGAGTCGATGGACTCAGAGACGTCCTCAGTGGCTTCCTTCAGGATGGACAGAACTCCTGCGACTCCCGATGAAGACCTGGAGGAGGTGAGATTTAGCCTAATGTTTGCCAAGTCACCAAGATAAAACTTACTTAAGTGACTTAATACTCAAAATCCTGAATTTACTCCGATATCATTCACGATCACGTCCATTCAGACACATTCGAATAGGCATATGCTGTATCCAAATTCGCTTATAGACTTTGACCTCTTGCCTGGTGTGTCACAAAAGGGTCTCGCCAATGAGGAGTCGGAGCTGCGTTTCCGTCAGCTCACCAGAGAGTATCAGGCCTTACAGCGAGCCTACGCCCTGCTGCAGGAACAGAAAGGAGGCATTCTGGATGCTGAGATGGAAGCCAAGGTAAAACACAGTCAGAAAATCACTGTTTTTCACTCCCATCTACGTATGCTACTTACTTACTGTAATAATTTCCCTTTTTTTAATTCATTCTATCTAAATATCACTATTCACCCACAGGCAATGTTTTGTTTATTTGCTTATTTTTAACAAAAAGCTCTTTACACAGATTTCCTTATATAGGACAGGCATATTATCATTATGGCACAGGTGTGATTTGATTGATATTCATTTTGTGTTTCTCTAGGTAAATATTTTTAATTGTTTTGTGGTTGAGAAATGGTTCTTAGTGTTCTTCACCACCAGCTGAAACTGAGGGAATCGCCACAAATAGTGTTGCTAACAGTTTGAAACTGTAAACATACCATTGTTGTATGATCAATTCCTCTCAGTTTAGCAATCTAGTGAAAGGAAAAAACTCTTGTGTTTCGGGGTAGGTTGGTGATAAAGTTGAGGAATGCAAGGATTCTTTGGAGATTAAGACGTAGAGAAGTAGTACACTTTTTGGGTGGTGGAGATGCCGTAAGTAGTATAGGATCCCCTGATGGAGTCCAGAACATTTAGCAGGGTTGCATACATTTCACACTGAACTGGAATGTGATTGGCTCACAGAGAAAATATTGGTTTAATTAGAAGTGAATGGCCACAGTCAGCTGAATAAGTTGTAGGATAGAAAGAGAGAGACAGAATCAATGAGAATCATAAAAGGCTTCTTAAATTATTTTGCTTTGCTTTATTTTTCTCATGGCTTCTAAAAGACTGTGGGAGTTTCACACCATTTTAATATATTTACTGGCCAACATACCTTACTGTGGGTTAGTAGTATAAGTTGTGCAGTGGCACATACTGTAGCCTTTTTATTGAGTACTGAAGCCTGTAAGCCTGTTGTACATTTGTGACTGCACATTTACATAAAACAGCACAATACAAAGCTAAGCCCGTTTTGGTTCTTCCTGTAACAGAGTGCTGAGAGGGTAGAGGAGTTAATGATTTATCTGATGTGAAGGAGAGAAGTGGCGATGTAGTTCAGTAATAAGTGGTATTTGCCACAAAAAATAACAAAGAAATACCACAAGAGCTTCCCGTTTACTTTACGGAGACTTAACAGAGACAATGCACAGCCCAAACACAATAAGGCTGCTTATACAAAGGTCAGGTAATGGCCCCCACTTTACTAAGCATCCTCTTAGGCTTTCTAACAATGCATCTGATGTTATCTGCACGTACCAAATTGACTGGGCCCTGCATCACCAATCTGTCGATCGAGAATAGATTTCATTCATATTGCGCCTTTCAAGAAACCCAATGCCGCTTTACATAAGGTAAATCCTTAGAGGGTGTCTCGTAATATTAATTCAAATGTGAATGCAATAAATCTTCTTAAAGGCTATCTTCATTGATATGAGGGAAGAAAAGGAATATGTTGTCATGTGGTAATGGTTCTTTTAAAAATAATTATATAAGTGTGTGTCTGGTTTTGATGAGCATTATAATAATAAATAAATAATCCCTTTCCTGCATGGACCCACACTTGAGAAACAGTGATTTTGTTACTAATGAAAGTCTGTTTTGCTGATGTTTCAGGCTCAGGAGCAGATCCAGGCAGAGGTTCTCAGGTATAAAGCCAAAATAGAGGACTTGGAGAAGGAACTGAACCTAAAGGGACAGGTAGGAGACACAAGCACACACATGGATACCTGTGGATCATTGTGTTGATGTACGGTGAAGGAAAAATAAATCCTGAAAACAGATATTTGAAGGCAGCTTACTGTGTGCACACATGCATGCAAGGTCTGTGTGATGTTTACTCCCTGCTACAATACCACACCGAAGGCTGTAATAACAATGTCGTTTTTTAAATTGATGCATAGCAAATGGTATAAGATATATATTGCTAATGCTTTATTTTATTTCAAGAAGTCTTATGTATATCTCTTTAAGAGACAAATATACAGCAACATATATTGAATCAAATATAACGAATACAAATTTAGTTAATAAAGTTAGTTATTTAATGATATTTCGACTGTCTTTAAATAGCTTTGATGTAATGCATCAAGTGTTTCTGTCCTCTACAGGACTCCAAATGGGTGGAGGAGAAGCAGCTCTTCTTACGAAGGAATCAGGAGCTATATGACAAGGTTGGACTTCAATCTAGTTTTCCTGATAAATACACATCTTTAATGTTTCTCAGTGTTTGTGATTGTGTGAATTGCAGTTTAAAAGGTATCTGATATGTCAAAGGAGTATTTTATGTTGGGGCAATAGTCATTTTTGTCTTGTGTGCAAAGCACTATTATTCTTCAATACCATTATAAATGCCTGAAATATTACGATTTATAGTTTAGAGATGTGGACAACTGCCGTTTCCTGTCTGGTAATTCTACCTTTATGGTGTCCAGCTGGAAAAGGTGGATTCAGAGAGCAGCCGGGCGCAGCAGGAACTACAAGACTCCAGAGATCAGAACGAACTGTTGGAGTTTAGGATACTGGAGCTAGAGGTGAGTCACCTGTCATGAATAACGTTGCAATCTTTTATTTCAATCATGGTTAAAATAGTGACACCATATTCACTGGTGGTAACAGAAACTGTGGTTTAATACTGTACAGTAGGTATATACGGGGACAGCAAAACAAACCATTTTATTAAAGGAATCCGTAAGGAGGAGTTCAGCTATTTATCTATCATATCACTATAGCTTCCCCTTCCATTATTCCCTGTAATATCTCAAACTCATCCAATGACAAAAACGGCCCAAAATCCATTGTTGTCTCGTTTTGTTGGCACATTTTTAAATAAACGATGGCGCTCAGTGTCACATTGCATTTACTGTGACTACTTCATAAAAGAAAACTTATTTGGCCTTTTAATGTCAAGCTGCAGTATTAAAACAAAGGTTTGGTTTGCATTGTTATTGTTATTGTTTTCGGGGTGCATTGCCACAGACAGTCAGAAGTTCCTTCTCAATGAGGCTTCAGGAAAACACATTTGAAGAAATATGGAAAAAGTGGAGAATTTACATATCCCAAAGACATATATACACTGATTGAATGTACTGTATATATATAGATGTGTATGTATGGTCACATGTATGTGTATTGAATGTATATATGTATGTTGATATGTATGCATATGTACATGTGTAGACATTTGCTATTTCCAACAACTCCTTTGTACTTTTTCGTTTTTATTTTATTTTGACTAATTTTGTTTGCTATTTCATTTGTCACTTTCGGGTCTCTAAAAATATATGATTTAAAAAACTGTACTTGTATTATAATGTGACCCCAGATATAAAGAATAAAAAAAAAAAAAAAAAGAAGTTCCTAATCCTACACATATTAATTTTGCAATACTTCTATCAATGATCCATTGGCTCAATCACAATTGTTTTACCATGCTTGGCGACATAGTGACTAACTCACTAATTTGTACATAAATACGTAAAAAAGGACTACAAAAAGTAGCTATGTTAATATCCTATCAAGTTAGACACTCATGTAGCCAGACGACCCAACAGTCTATCAGTGTGTGGTTTTTGTGTTACATTATGTGCTGCAGTGCAGATACCGGCGAGAGCTTTTGAGGGCCTCATCTGCCACCTAGTGAGCAGAGAGGGGAAGAGCTCAGTACAGTGTGAGAATACGCTGATCACACCTTAACAGTAATTAAAGGCTTTCTCCATAAGGTGTTTGTCTAATGCTTCTAAAGATGGAAGCAGGGGTAGCAATTTTACTTGAATAAGTTACATTTTCATGACTAAACAAGGCCAATTTCCCCACCTGCGGTTCTGAAACTTTAATATCAGTACCGAAAAATGGAAACAAGGATTGATTCAGGGACTTTAGTTCAGCTCTGAATGACCACATTGATTTGGATCTATTTGAAAAATGCTGTCTGTTCTGCTGTTTTCATAGGAGCGTGAGAGGAAGTCCCCTCCATTCAACCACCTGAGGATGCATCCCTTCTCTGAGGGAGTCAGCGCTCTGCAGATCTACTGTATGAAGGAGGGGGTCAAGGTACAAAGGAGAAGGACTCCTCTGCATTATCTATATTAACTGATTACAAAGTATGAGAGCAAGAGAGCCCATGAATGTTATGGCTGTACAAACCACAAGCTGTTTGGTGCCATATTTGTAACCCTATAAACATCAATAGAAATGTTTTGTGGAAAGAAGTTTGGATTAAAAGTCTAAATTAATGGTTAATGCCTTTTTTGTGTATAATTCTGATCTTTATTCTGTTTTCATTACAGGACGTGTGCATACCAGATCTCATCAAACTTCTTGATATCCTGGGAGACAACGGGGTAATCATTATGTAATTTAACTTTTCATAATGTATGACACTATATACTTTAGGTAGATTATTAACAGAATTCTTAATTTCTCCTGTTTTGTAGAATTTAAGAAATGAGGAGCAAGTGGCCATTATTCAGGCTAGCACTGTTTTGTCACTAGCAGAAAAGGTACGTTTGGAAACTATATTATGGTTCTATTAAATAATGAAAAAATAAATCACAGAATAGTTGTGCTAACTCATTTTTGCCGTTTGTTGCCCTCTAGTGGATTCAACAGATTGAGGGGACGGAGGCATCGCTGCACCAGAAGATGATGGACCTGGAGATAGAGATGGTCGGTTCAAACAACCCAGAACAATTTAATAATTTATTTAATATGACTTTTCCTTTCATATACATGTTTTCTTACTTGCAATGGATCATAGCAGCTTTAGTTCAGTGTGATATGAAGGTGGTTATCCTCCATAACGCCTCATACACAGCACACATGGAGGATTGGTTTATATAAAGTCACGGTACAAATGAGTTGCAAAAAGGAAACAAATAATACTTTGATGCCCCCCTAACACTGTGTCTGATTTACTTTCTACTGCACAGGAGATGTTCTGTAAACAGAAGGGATATCTAGAAGAGGAGCTGGACTACAGAAAGCAGGCCCTGGACCAGGCCTACATGGTACGTGTGGGTTTGAGTGTGATGTATCACTTTGTGGGGCCCAATGTTTAGTCACTGGGACTCATTTATTATATGGGGACGAATATTCAGGCCCCTTAATGTACTTAATTTACTTAAATGTTTGTTCCTGGTGTAAGAGTTATGGTTAGATTCATGAAAAGTATAGGTGAAGGATTTAGGGTTATGTATACAGTAAATGTGGTTAACAGTAGGACTGCAGGTAATATACATTAGGTAGGTTAATACAAAGTTTAATTCTTGCATCTTTGACATCAAAAGTAACAAACACCTTGTTTTTCTTTTCCCGACAGCAAATCCAGGAGTTGGAAGCAACGTTATACAACGCCCTGCAGCAGGACAAGGTGCTTCATGTCTCAATTTGCAGCTGAATTGAAATGAAAACTACTCTACATATTTTAAATAATCAGTATATATCTGGAAACCTCTTGTTAACCTGAAGTAATGCTGACATTCAGGTCTTTTAATATACTCAATTATGTGATGTTTGTCGAATGAAGACATCAGTCTTAATGTCAAGAATGGTGTCGCAACACTATAGATTTTCTTATAGCACACATTCTGACATCTGCGCTATCTACGGTACGTCCTCATGATCGACGTACAACGTTACTGCAAAGGGATACATTTGTGACTATGGAGACTTTGCAATTAGCAACACACGTCAAGAAAAAATGGGTTTCCTACAGTTTTGAGATTACTTTTACGTCTTAGCTACTGCCGACACAAGAAGTGTTCGAGAAAGAACAGCTGGACCAAAGTGTTGAGAAGTGTCTTTAAGAAATACAAATCCATTATGGTATCCACTGTGCCTGATGCCCATTTTGCTCCTGCAGGTGATAAAGTACGGCGAGCCTCTGGACGAGCTTCAGAAGGACGAGCTGCGGACAGCGGTGGAGAAGCTGAGGAGGCAGATGCTGAGGAAAAGTCGAGAGTACGACTGCCAGATCCTCCAGGAGAGGATGGAGCTGCTGCACCAGGCACACCAGGTCTGTAGACGTCTGTGTGATGGAGAGGGATTTGTGTGTGATGATAACGCTGTGTGGAAATAGCTTTGTACATTTTATTTGTTTGTGGGAAATCTCTCTTGGCTAGAGATAATTGAGCCTTCCCTTTTCCCCTTGAAGAAACACATTCCTTACAGTTTTCTCTCTGAATATTTGCAGAGAATTCGTGACCTTGAAGACAAGACGGAAATCCAGAGGAGGCAGATTAAAGACCTGGAGGAAAAGGTAACATATGTTTCATTTTCACACGCAAAAATTAGACTTTGATGCAAACAAAGAAGTACTTCTAAGTGCAATAGCTTAAATATCTCTGCTCTCAAGCCTGTGAAATCAATTAAAAATTACGCCTTGAGTGTATTCATTTTTTCACATTGTTCGTAGTGAAAACAATCCTTTTAACACTAGAACCGCCAACGGGTAAATTTTACCCGCAGCTGTTTTTTGATTGTATGTAACCTTTTTTCCATAACATATTAAAGTCTCCTAGTCCGTGACTTTTCCTGAAAGTGTGTTATATAGCACCCTCTGTTGTTAAAAATTGTCAATATGAAGTCAGATTGAAAAAAATCGCCAAATAAATTGCCATTTATACCCATATCCGCCAGCGGGTAATATTTACCTCATATAAAATGCAGCGTAAACATGACGTGTTGCTATAGCAACGCATTTTGTCTACTGCGGTTCCTTATAGATAGAGAGAG